TTGTAGATTGTGCCTCCATGAACTCATCAATGGAAGTTAAGCAATGCTGACAGCAGTACGTACAGGTCTTCGTGTTGGACTTGGATGGCGGTTCTTTGTCAGGTTTTTATTCTTGCCACAAACTTTGGCACACTAAACAACCTGTTGTTGGGCTGAGTTCATCTATTTGTGTCAAAATGTCTCAGGCACAACCAATTGTAATATCTTATAACTTTTAATGTATAACCTACTACCAAACACAACTACCTATCTTGCAATTTGGTGACCTAGATCTGCTCCATCGTTTAATACTTTTTTCTTCCCATGTTACAGCTGCTCCTGGCTGGTCTTTTTTCCATAATCTTGCTGACATACAGACAAAATACTACTTGCACAGTCTTTATTATTAGTCATCCAACAATCACTAGCTAGCTTGCTAAACCAAAATATGGTATTTACAGCAAAGATTTGATTTAACTGGAATGTAAGCATTGGTACTATGAGCATCGGTAGGTATCAGTAAGCCGTTTTCCTTTTCTTTCTCACCTAGTTTGTAATTATGCCCAATATCATTATGAGATTTTTTCTTCAATATGGCAATGGATTCTTCGATGACTTTTTCCTCTTGCAGACTCGAGAAAATCCAGTCCTCTTTATCTAAAAAAATCTCTGCAGAGCTGGAGTGGTGACAGAGAAGAAAACAGGTACACACTGTCATCATCTCAACCTAAAATGGTGTAATACAATAAAACTGTATTGGAATCGGCTGTTACACTCACTCGTAAGCGTCAGTGGACGGTTTTACCAAGCTTGTCCTGACCAGACCTATTTCTCCTGTTGCTTCCTTCTTCCCCGTGAACCAATCAAAACAAGGCACCAAAAATCCCACAATCGTGATGGGATCACCAGGTGACACGCTCAGCTCGTCCGGGCCCTCAGCATCATACTCCTTTTTAGCTAGACAGGTTCCTCTGGCTAAACAGAGGAGACACTGCATGAAGATAGTCCCAAACTGTGAGAGAGGTTTCTGTAGCAATAAGTATCTCTGAAAACTGGAAAATCAACTTTTGTTGTAAACTCTATTTCCATATGTCAAACTAATGCATATTTGTCCAAATGTAATCACTGGTATATGTGGCGTATGTGTGGCCAACTGTTACATCACCAAACCCAATACATACAAAGTGTTAAGCATGCCACCTGACTGCTTTGTGTAAAGCTGAGTGAAGGGGGGTTATTGTCTGGGGGTGCTTTTCAGGAGGGGCTTCAGCATACCGAGACCTTTTGGATAATTTCTTGCTCCCAACTTTGTGGGAACAGTTTGCAGATGGCTATTCCTGTTTCAAAATGACTGTGCACCAGTGCACAAAGCATGCTCCATAAATGGTGTGGAAGAACTTGACGGGCCTGCACAGAGTCCTGACCTCAATCCAACAGAACACCTTTGGGATGAATTGGAGGCGATACTGTGAGCCAGGCTCTAGTTGTAGCCCTAGTCCTAGCACAGTGACCTCAAGGCTAGACTGCAAATGATTATATGAGATAAATGAAAGTAACTGAAGTTAACATAACACAAACACTTACCAAAGTGCAGAGGGAAGTCACAGGTAGATTTACCATCACCTACTAAAATGCTTTCTGCACAAGATTTGAGAAACCACCTGTGGACAGATGGGATTATCTGACCTCATTTACGGTGCTTCATGTTCACATCAAAGTTACTATGAGACTGCTTAAGGTCCACATGGGCCTTTATGTGGCTGTAACTCACTGATGGAAAGGGATGACTGGCTCCAGAGCAGGTTTAGGTGCAGTGCCCCGTGCTCCATCAGCCAGACAGAGAACAGTCCACCCTGAGCCTAGGAAGGGAGGCTCGAACTGGGCTATGTCTCCCTGCTCCAAGTACAGGTCTCCTCCAGAGGTTGAACTGTCAAACATCTGGCTAGCACTGCAACTGGCAAACAATGAACCTAACAACAAAGAGAGTGAGCAGGCTAAGTTTACTTATATAATGACAGTAAAACAGCAACTCCGTACACATGTATTAAAATTTTTTTTTAAAAACTGGGGGCAGCCCAGAACTCCTGGTGGCTGGGATACTCAGAGCCCTCCAGCTAGTCTGGAGGAACGCCTTCCCCAGCCAAGCTGGAGGTCATAAGGACATTAATGACATTAAAATACAAAAAGCTCTTAGTGACATTATTGCACAAACTGACTGGCTCCTGCTGTTGTCTACATTGTGAGGGCTAGAAATGTCCAACAGCGGGAGAGAGAAAACATTTTGTCGTGGAACACTTTAACAGCCTGAGCTGGAGCTTTGAGATCAGCTGACTGATATTCACTCACCTGCATTTATTGCTGAACATTAACTGTGAATAAACACACTGAGCTTGATCTTCCAAACTGGCCTCCTGAGCCCACTGGATCTCCTCAGCTATGACAGTACAATCTGGCCATAAATTAAATAAGCGGACCCATGACTAAATTGCCCCCCCCAAAAAAAGGAATATCATGGGTTCCTATACTGTTTGGTATAGGAATGATACAGGTATGGTTGGTCCTTTAAATAAATGGACCTCAGTCAGGCTGCTTGTGAAATTATTTCTCAGAACAAGTTTATATTAGTCCTTTAAATTCACTACACAACATGGCATTTGAGTGGGAGGATCTATGTGTTTTCTCAATGCCTGCATATAAAATGATGTTGCGTTTGGTGTGAATTGGAATTATCAGCAAATATACATATGTAACTCATTTAAATAGTTAACTAATACTTTCACTCGTCTAAGATTTTACCAGGTAAATGCACACCTTTGTTACTAATTTACAGTTTCCTGATCTCATGTCTAATCACCTTCTAAAATGATATTTTAGTGCCAACCTTCTTGTAGGAGGATGCCTCTGTAGAAAAGGTTAAGTGTTTCCTCCTGAATGGTCACCTCAATAGCAAAGTCATCCTTCAAAGAACTGAGCCAGAACGTCTGCTCTAGCAGTAGGTTCTCCATACAATGGCGCAGGAAACCTGGAGGAGAGGAGGATGTTCACAGAAGGCAGTGTGAGGTATTTGGATAAGATGTAGCACAAAACATGACGTTTTACACTGTGTCATTATTTATTAACGAGAACTAAGACAAAATGCCAGAGCAGTGTGGAACAACCAAATACACTCCACTTATCCAACACCTTTAGCAACAATAACTTGAAGTTTATGTATTAATTTAAAAGGAGGAATTTTATCCTCATCTCTACAACATCTACATCATCTTTTGTCTGTTTATTGAGGTTAACAGGCGTTTGTTTATGTCCAGCTCTCTTAACTTCTTGTCACAGTATTTTAGTTGGATTGAGGTTTGGATTTGACTGGGCCACTACAACACCTCGTTTTTTCCTTCTTCAGTCATTCTGTTGTAGATTTGCTGGTGTTCTTGTGCTCACTGTCCAAGCTACAGCCTCCAAACAGAGTCCCTCACACTCGACTCCACACAGAACATAGTCTGTCTGTTTTCTACTGTCTCCAGTTATACAACTTCAATTGTCATTAGCAGTGTTGGTCAAGTTACTTGAAAAAAGTAATCAGTAACTAATTACTTCCCCCAAAAAGTAATCCCGTTATTTTACTGATTACTTATTTTCAAAAGTAATTAATTACTTAGTTACTTTTATAAACAAGATTTAAAACCTGAGTAGGTGATAAAGCGATAGATCTTTCAGCCCAATTCTACTTTTTCTGCATAATCAAATGGAAAAGTCTCTTTTTAAAACTTGTTTTATTAGTTTTAATCTTTTAACTTTATGCATCAAGCAACAATTTAATTATATTCAACATTCTCTGACTGGAAGAAATTTGTTTAACATTTAAACTTATTTTCTGAACATTCCAGCACATAAAATAAAATTTTTTTTGTGTTTATACTCAGTCTGTGTGAAACACAGCAGAAAATAAATACAATCAAAGACTAGCGGTCCTGTTGCTCTATTTTCACCTGTAAAGCAGGCGGAGGTTTGCGAAAGGTCGCAATCGCTTACGTCACTGTCATGAGACATTCTCGCAAAAAAATCACGGTTTTAGTAACACAGTAACGCAGCGTGCTTACAGGAAAGTAACAGTAATCTAATTACCGTTTTTGCAATACTAATCCCTTACTTTACTCGTTACTTGAAAAAAGTCATCTCTGGTCTTTAGATGAAGCTAAATCCCAATTTCAATTTGATTTTAAATCTAATTATTCAATACTGAACTAAGCAGGACTAAAGGTTTAGAACTGCATGACAAGATCTCTAATTTGAAAATGCTATTTTTGGTTTGTTTTTATGACATTACATATATGTCTGTGAAGGTTCTCAGTCATCCAGGTCATCGTAGTCTAAGGAGCTTGGAAAGAAAAGCGTCTGGACTTCTTTAAGTTACTTGAAGACGTTTCACCTCTCATCCGAGAAGCTGAAGAAGCAACTTAAAGAAGTCCAGACGCTTTTCTTTCCAAGCTCCTTAGATGACATCACATATACTTCCACCTGGTTCTAATATAATGCTTTTCTACTCTTCTGAGCGCTTCACACAACTTTGTGCATTCACACAATCACACCAGCACATTTTTTTTCTGTTTTCTAACATTCATACTCTGATGGATGCATCGGAGATTTGGTATTAGTATCTTGCCCAAGGCATGCAGACTAGGGGAAGCCAGGAATCGAACCGCCAACCTTCCGATCAGTAGATGACCTCCTCTACCTTCTGAGCTACAGGTGTAGCTACAGGTACAGCTCAGGCGGAGGCACGCTACAGTGTACTCCATACCTATTTTGTAATATGTGGTGAACTTCCATATGTCTTCAAATGTTGTGAACATCACATAAATGGCTTTTCTTTCACTGTTGATGGAGATGAGATGGGCGGACAGCTCCTGAAGAAAACAGAAAACAGTGTTGATACTGAAGTTTCTTAACTGTCCATCTGATCCAATTATCATTTGATGCTCACATTTAACAAACTGACACATAACGAATGTCATTTAAACATCAAACTGAAGGTTTTGACAGCCACTTTTCATGTCTCAGTAAAATGCATTTTACAGTTTTACAGCAGTTACAGGAAGTACAGCAGAAAAATGAGCTGTGGCAGCACAACAAGAAGAGAAGAGTTAATATTTAACTGAAACGTGGTCCAATAATGTTTCACAGCTCCAGCCATAAAAACTCTAAAGACCACCACTTTCCAGATGTTTTTCAAGTATGAGACAGAGAGTGAGCAACACCACATGAAGATGAACAAACTTCAGAATAAGTATTTAAAAATAAACAAAACCAGCAGAATACATATATGATGATGATCTGCCCAAAATGTGTCTCGAATAATTCAAACAGTGGCAGCTTGCTCACTGACCACAATCACATGGCTGCCAGTGCACACAAATGACATCAAAACACAACACAGTGAAAAGAACACAAATGTCTGTTTTCTGTGGAGGTCCATAACACTCACTCACTCTTCTCTCAACCAACCTTTGTTTTCACCGGGGCGCTGCGACACAGAGCCTAGGATCACTGTAGTGACCCTAACATCACGGCAGAGCTGTCAGCAAGTGTTTGAACTCTTTCAATTAAAATGGTTGAGGAGTTACAGATGTTTAAAAGATGTTGTGAAACATCTGTCTGACACCAGTGACAGGGTA